GAGCTGCTTTTTTAAGTGGAGTGGAAATGACATCTGCATACGAAGGGGCAACTTTCACAACAGTGGCCGGCGTTATGGGGGTTAGAGAGTTTTTTGGCAGTGGCGAGCTGGCAGGCAGAGCTGTTATCTTTGAAGAAGCAGATAAGGGAGGCCACTGGGTGTGTGCGGATTCCGAGGTAGCAGGTGCTTTTACTGTTGCTTTCGTCGTCGCGCTCATTTCAGCCGTGTGTGTCGCCTGCGGTGGGGTGACCACTTTGTCGGGCATTTCGGTCGTTTGCTGGGTTTCCGCATCAGGCTAGCTGGTGTGATCCGTGAAGTTAAGTCTGCTATTTTTGCCTCTATCAATCAGAAGTTTAATTTGAAAATATGATCTGAACCAAAATCTTCCAGGAGCACTGCAACAGAACCATTTGGTGTTTCCATGAAAGAGTGGACAATGTCGGATTGAATATAGACTTGCTACATGAACTTGTCGAGTATCGCTTCTATTGGGTGGTGGCGATCAGGCGGTTTCGTTTCAAACAACCTTTATTCGTGATTTCGGTTGTTATGTTTTGGTCTATCACTTTTATGAATGGGTAGAGGGAAGATTGGAATGCTGGACGCAGTTTCGAGTTGAAAATAGAGAATTCTGGTAGACTACAGGTGTAAGGACAATGATTAGAGGCACGATCGTCACTGTGTAGGACACTCAGGCGTATCACTCAGTGTCTCTAAACATTGATTGCAATGACCATCATGAGGCTTCGCATGTCAATTCTAATCTGGTGTGCCTCAAAACATCAAAAGCTTCCGGTCCCGACTGACTATGTCCAGTCGTCCTCAGGGAATGTGCGCATTGTTTGGCGGAGCCACTTGCCGGTATTTTCAACCGCTGCTTCGAGGAATAAAAAGTTGTCGACTGTTGGAGACCTGTGCGCATCACACCAGTCCCCCAAAAAGAAGCTGTGAAATTACGTCCAGTCACATGTACTTCAATTTTACTAGAAAGATTCGAAAAGTTTATGCTGGTAACATTATTCCGAACACTTAGAAACCAGATAACTACCAATTCGCTTATCACAACAACTTTCTACCCGCGATGCTCTTGCGCATTTGGTAAACTCAAGTTTGGAATCCCTAGACACGTACGTCACAGCATTTCATATGTGTTTCCTCGACTATAGTAATGCCTTTAACTGTATTGATAGGAGCATGCTTTTGTCTCTACTCCAGGGTGCTAGATTGTCCTATAATACCCTCTCTCTACTCAAAGATTATTTTACTGGTAGAACACAATTCACGAAGTTTCTCAGAGAAACCTCTGACTCCTTAACGGTCAAATCAGGGATGCCCCAGGGAGCAGTTCCGTCCACCTTTCTTTTCTCTTTCTATATTCGTGACCTTCCCACTGACCCGGATGATCTCCTCATTAAGTATGCTGAGGATGTCACAATAGGTTCCATATTCCAAGGTGATTTCCGCTTTTCATAGCTTCAAACCAGTTTATCTGCTTTAAACTTAGGGTCTTCGTCTTCCAAGTTATCTCTCAATGCCTCTAAATGTACGGGTGCCACCTACTCGCTCACCAAAGGAGAATGGCTTCATTCTTTTGAAAGGAATTGTTCTGTACTCGATGTTGACAATCAGCCTGTTCCCCCATTAAATTCTCTGCAATACCTTGGTGTCACTATCTTACAAGACCTCTCCTGGACCTCACGTTTAAATTCTACTTTTGTAAAGATTTGACAACTGTGTTTCTTTATTTCCCGCTTGCGTTCTTTGCAAGTTCCACCATATTTACTAACCCGATTTGTATATTCTTGTTTTGTTACTCTTCTCTACTGCTCCCCAGTTGTATTTGTCGGTCTTAGAGTTTGAAGATTACACATTTCTACGCCGGTCTATTAAAATTATTTCTCGCACAAGTGGTATTCCTTATTTGCACTTGCTTAACTTTATCGTCGATTAACATTTTACCTCTTGCAAAGCTTCTGCAACAACATTCTATCAGACACCACACACCAATTACACAAAGAACATAAACAATGCATATCCACTTCTGTAACTACACCTTTTCCCATCAAGCTTTAGCCAAAACCCGCAATCCTTTAGCCTCGACCCGCAATCCTTTCGCCAAAATCCACAATCCTTTAGCCAAAACCCACAATCCTTTAACCAAAACCCACAATCCTTTAGCCTTGACCTACATTCCTTTAGCCAAAACCCACAATGCTTTAGCCACGACCCGCAGTCCTTTAGCCTCGACGCACAACCTTTGGTCACACCGCTGTAGGCGAGTCAGAACAAAAACTATCGGTATATTCTGAGNTTCTGAGGTCAACGAATGTTGAAAAAATTTATATTTTACAAATTTTCATACTGCAAAGCTTGACTAATAAATGAGAAGGTGTGACGATCGTATGCCGCGCAGTTGACTTTAGATGTCGTTATAAACTGGTGTATGCTCATACCACTGCCTACCGTTTGTCTGTCATTCCCTATCTTTCGCGATTTCTGACTCAAAAGGCATCCGTTACAGAAAAAAATTTTTAATTTCCTGCACAACTGATATTCATTTACAAACTGTTACTCCGTATTACTTTGAATTTACGATGCTGCTTATTCACCTTTTCTTTGTGATTGTATGGCATGATAAATGTTCTTGGAGTGCAAGGAGCTGAGAATCCATCCATTAG